ACAAATCCGTCCGCCTCCTATTGTTTCAGGACAGAGGACAGAGTTCATCGATCCTCCGACAAAAGGGAACGTGAATGAGCGAATGGAGGAGGCGAAACGATAGGTGTTTTCGCCTTTCATGAAAATGTTCCGGTCTATTTCAAGTACTCATCCCTCCTCTTTCCATCTGTGTTTTTCCTCTATACCTTTTAGTTTTTTTCTCTGTGATCTCTCTTCGGTTACTATTTTCTTTTCACCTTTTTTTGCTAACATGGTCGCGCGTAAATTGCATTTCTGTCTGCTTGATTCTATTTTTAATGTTTATTAACAGCTTACAATGCTTGTATATGTAATGGACTCTCGCTAATTTTTTAACTTGTTATTTAATTACTTAACTCTTACTTAAAAATTATTTAACTCTTACTTAACTTACTGTTAAATCAGAGCTAACTGTGCAATTTAAATCTGTGCGAAAACAGATTTTATCTTAAATTTATAGAAACTAAAACCAAAAGGATAAATCAATCGAAAGTAAGATTCTGTGTTATTATTACGGTTATATTTATGACGACATTAAAGTCTATCAAATTTATATGATATTTATTATGATTTATATTTGTAGAATTTGTAGTATGATTGTAGGAACATATGTAACCTTCCACTGCGAGGAAAGAAATTTCTGCATCAAATGTTCAAGAAAGTTGCCTTTGTACACTTCAATCTCAATGGTTATAGGATCCCTTAGTTGTTGCCATATACATTTTATTTCCAATGTCAACGGAAAGATATTCTAGTCTCAAAGGATTAAGTCTATTCAGCGCGATCTGCTTTGCGACCTGGCCTAGTCCTTAAAACGCATCAAGCTGTATCTAGTCTGCCATCTTCATGATTTACAAAATGAATTTTCTGTCGCTACGCGAATTAGCTTTCACTTTACAACGAGTCATGTAATTTTGTTCGATGATGTGTGTGTGTGTGTGTGTGTGTGTGTGTGTGTGTGTGTGTGTGTGTGTGTGTGTGAGTGGGTGGGTGAGTGGGTGGGTGAGTGGGTGGGTGAGTGGGTGGGTGAGTAGGATGGGTGGATGGGTGCGCGGGAGAGGGGGGGAATATCACTTCTTTAGTTCTCTTCATAGGAAGATGAGTCGATATTTTATACGCGTCGCATGTTGCACTCATAAACCGTAAAATCCATTTAATTTTACGCGCCCTCGTAAAAACGTTCTTTGACCGGCACGTCGCTACGCGACGGAATAATGCCTTTCGTATTATTCACGTATTATCCATCGTGACGCGAGTGACGGCAATAGGCATATAATGCGAAAGATTAATGTCTCTTCAAACAAAATGAGATTTAACCACCTTAACAAAATGAGATTATCGCAAGATAAACGTGCACGTAACTTAAACTTTCTTTGTACTTATTCATATTTTTTTATTATCAGAAACAGAACGAAATCTCTTATATCTATAAAAGTATTACAATATTGTCATTACCGACCTTTCTTTTCCATAAATCTCGATAAATCTTAGATCCAATAAAAAAATTTCAGATGCGTATATCTTCTGCAGATTTGAAACTTAAAAATTAATATCTCATAATAAATAATTTTTGTCTTTAATAGATGCGTATTTGTTAAACTTTTATTCTTTCTTTCTTTGTCATACAGCATATTTATGAAACATAATAGAGATTTAATGAGATGTGATGAAAACAAGTTTAATTATCGATGAACTAAAGAATCTTGATATTTTTATATCTCAGCTTCAAAAGAAGTACTAGTATTTTCATATTTGATTAAAAATATATATTCACACAAATTCTGATTAAGCGATTGCATCGATTGTTATATATGAATACATAGTAATACGCTACTTTGAACAATAAACTTCTTATTATTTTACTTAATCAAAACATAATTTTTATAATAAAAAAATATATGTTTTATGTATAAATTACATTCTCCGAACCCCTCTCTTTTTGTGATAAAAAGTATGTGATTAACCGCAAAGTGTAGCGATGAATTATAAACTCGATGAATATATTCATTCAACAAGATGCTATTTTTGCAAATGTAATAATTATAATTATATTTTGATAAATTCTTATTAATTATATTTTGATAAAACCTTACTGCGTAAATTATTCATTTTTTTCAATAATTTCGTATCTTAATATTTTTGCATAACAAATAACAAGACGAATCGATTTGCGTAAAAAAATACAACGTTGCTTTAAAAAAAATTATGCAATTCGCAATATGCCTAGAACCAATATGGCAAAAAAGTATGATACTAGAATTAAATGAAATTTTAACTCTTATAATGTAATCTTGTAACTTGCATTAAAATATCACGTTTGAGAATATGTTATTTGAAATCTCTATCAGTATTATTCTAGAAAATTGAAAAATCATATTACATTTAATAGTTAACATTTTTTTGTATTGTATATTTCAAATTTGTGACTAATATTTTTGGTTGAAACGACGAAATCGAATTGAATTTGATATAAATGGACTCAAATGCAAAAAAACAAGAATGGTTAATCATAAAGATTGGAGTTGTCTCCCGAAGCTTCTCCTCTCTTTTTGAAATGGTTGCAATATTTCATTTCGAATAAAAGAAAAAGGTATAAAATGGCTATCTCCATTGTTCAATACAGATGAACATTTCTCTAATTCATCACCACTCATCTTTCTTTACACAGAATGGTACTTCTAACATATAATTATCAAGACTTAACTGTTAAAATCCGTGAACTTTCATGTGCAAGACACCATAAAAGCTTATAGATATCAAAGATTACGAATCGCAGGATGAAAATCCTTAAGAGCGATTAGTAACGATGGTAAAACGAGCGACACTTCTCGCGCATCAATTAACATTATTAACGCGATTATTGGAATTTGCTCGAATTCTCGAATTGTCTATAGACGACAGGCTGAGAGAATCCTATAGCAGATGCGCTCCTTTTCCAATACATTAACTTTCAAAAAGAAGATCTATTACGGGAAGAAAGAGAAAGAGAGAGAAAGAAAAGGAGAGGAAGGAGGAAGGAAAGGAAGAGAGAGAGAGAGAGAGAGAGAGAGAGAGAGAGAGAGAGAGAGAGAGAGAGAGAGAGAGAGGAGGGAGGGAGGGAGGGAGGGTAGGGTACGGGTTACGGTTACGGTTACGTTACGTTACGTTACGTACGTTACGTTACGTTAC